AAAACAAGTGTATTGTTGCTAGAACTTGTCTGCAGCCACCCACTGATCACAGAGACATATTTAAAAACATTTTGTTTGGAACAAAATGTGTGCATGCATGAACTTGAACCCTAGTAGCAATATTTTTGTAGCAATAAATATACAAAAATTTGCCATTTCAAGCATTTTTATATGTGCAAATCCAGCCACACCAACCTAGTAGCAATACTTTTGGACTTATCTTCATACTTACTGATACCTCGTGGTGTGATGCTGTAGGATTAGCGCTGGACTATGAACCACACGGTTGGTGGTTCAAAGCCACCTCCTGCTCCTTGGAAACTCTTAAAGGGTTGCTATGAGTCAGAACTGACTCAATGGCACTTAACACCAACAACAGTCACAGAGAGATAGCATGGTCCAGTGTTTTAATGCTTAGCCCTGGCTCTTGCGCTAACTTGATCAGCTCCTATCTTTCTGGGTTTCAGTCTCTTCACCCTTGGAATTAAGCGTTCATACCAAAGGCTCTCCCAGGGCTCTCCTTTTATTCTGTGGACTGCAGCAGAGATAGAATACCAGTGAGCCCAAGAACATTATGCTTTTTGGTTTTCCACAAATTTTGAAGCCCCCCCCCCCATGAGTGTGTAAACACACTCATACACAGGAGTACATGTGTGTTAGGTTTGGTTTGAGAAACGAAGGGTCCCTGGTACATGAATAACACCACCTACCATCTTTGCTAACATTTCCAAACCTCCTCTTTGGGGGATTGGAAGTTCATTCTGGAAATGGACTTGGAAGTTAGAAACTAGAAAGCATTCGGTGCCATCCCAGGAATCTCCCAGGCTTCCATTCACAATCCCAGAACACCTAAAACTCTTAACCTGTTTCAAGGTTTGTGAGATGCTTTTGACCAACTTGGAGGTTGTCAAAACAAAGATGCTTTTGACCAACTTGGAGGTTGTAGAGCAAAGGAAAGACCATGGGAGAAAATGGGAAAACAGTGCTAATTTCATGAGGAAAGAGATCATTTTAGTGGTTCAATCGTAACCCAAGTAAAGGGAGAAAAGGCTGAAGCATCAACCTAGAATGACCACTTCTGAGGTGGGGAGTACGAAGGAGAAGGGTGGAAGAGGGTGAGTCAGTCTAAGGATTAAAGGACCAGACTCTGAAGGCTTGCTGTACCATGCTGTTGGGTCGTTAGGTATCATTGAGTCAGTTCCAAATCATAGCAACCTTAGGCACAACAGAAGGAAACACGACTTAGTACTGTGCCATTCTCAACGCTATGTTGAGCTCATTGTTACAGCCACCATGTCAGTTCATCTCTTTGAGGGTCTTCCTCTTTTGGGCTGATCCTCCACTTTACCAAGCATGATGTCCTTCTCCAAGGACTGGTCCCTCCGGTCAACACATTCAAAATACAAGAGATGAAGTCTCACCTGCCTCACTTCTAAGGAGGATTCTGGCCATGCTTGCTCTAACATAGATTTGTTTGTCCTTCTGGCAGTCCATGGTATAGTCAATATTCTTCACCAGCACCATAATCCAAATGTATCCGTTCTTGGATCTTCCTCATTCATTGTCGAGTTTTACATGTGTAGGAGGTAACTGAAGATACCACGCACAACTTAGTCCTCAAAGTGACATCTTTGCCATGTAACACTTTAAAGAGGTCTTTTGTACCAGATTTGCTCAGTGCAAGCCGTCATTTGATTTCTTGACTGCTGCTCCATCGGCATTGATTATGGACGAAAGTAAAATGAAATTCTTGACAACTTCAGTCTTTTCTCCATTTATCATGATGTTGCTTATTGGTTCCATTGTACTTTTTGGCTTTTTTATGTTGAGGTATAATCCATTCTGAAGGTTGCAGACTTTGTTCTTCATCACTAAGTGTCTCAAGTGCTCTTTAATTTTAGCAAGCCAAGTTGTGTTACCTGCAAATCACAGGTTGTTGATGAGTTTTCTCCAAACCAAATGCCTTGTTCTTCTTCATATAGCCCAGTTCCTCAGATTATTTTCTCAACATACAGATTGAGTAATTTTGGGGAAAAGACACAATGCTGACACACACCTTTCTTGATTTTAGAACATGCAGTGTCCCCTTGTTCTGTTAGAATGACTGCTTCTTGATCTATGTACAGGTTCCAGCACAAGTAAGTGTTCTGTAATTTCCATTGCTTGCAATGTTATCCATAATTTGTTGTGACTCACACAGTCAAATGCCTTTGAGTAGTCAATAAAACAGAAGAAAATATCTTCCTAGTATTCTCTACTTTCATCCAAGATCCATCTGATATTAGTAATGATATCCCTTATTCCACATCCTCTTCTAAATCCAGCTTAAATTTCTGGCAGTTACCTGTCAGTGTAGTACTGCAACTGATTTGAAATATCTTCAGCAAATTTTAACTTACAAGTGATATTAATGATATTATTCAATTTTTGTTTGTTTATTTTTGGCATTCTGTTGTATCACCTTTCTTTGGAATGGGCATAAATATGCCTCTCTTCCCATTGATTAGCCAGGCACTGGTCCTCCAAATTACTTAGTACAGAGAACGTAGAGCTTTTATCTAAATTAGTATTCCATCAATTCCTGGAGCCTTGTTTTTTACCAATGCATTCAGTGCAGTTTGGACTTCTTCCTTCAATATCATTGGTTCTTGATCATATGCTACCTTCTGAAATGATTGAATGTTGACCAATTATTTCTGGTACAATGACTGTGTATTCCTTCCATATTCTTTGGCTGTTTTCTATGTTGTTCAATATTTTGTCTATAGAAATCTTCAATATTGCAACTTGAAGTCTGAATTTTTCTTCAGTTTTCTGCCTGAGAAATACCCATATGGATTTCTAACTACAGTTCTTTACACATTTCATTATAATACTTGACTTTGTCTTCTCAAGCTGCCCTTTAAAATTTTCTGTTCAGCATTTTTGCACCATCATTTCTTCTATTTGCTTTAGCTACTCTTGATTTTCATACGGGAAGCAAAATCAATAAAATACTTACCTCTCACCTGCCCCCACAGGTGCAGTTTTACCAGAAGAAATCATTCATATCCACATCAAATTTTACCAATCCGAACAAAATATGGTTAGTAACAAAGAAAGGCAATTTTCATGTTTTATTATACAATATTGCTCATCATAGAAAAAGCTTTAACATTTTTAAATACAGAAACAAATTGTTAGTGTTGTCAGAGAGATTGCCTGCCCTTGAACAAACTGACAACACCTGTTTGCAAACAACAGCATTGCTAGAACTGAGTCGAAACCCTTTGTTCTTCTTTCAGGACCCAGCTTATTCATCCATTTTCTAAGCAGTGTCTATCACATAGTAAGGACCAAATAATATTTCTTGAATGAATGGGGTTTTCTTTCATCCCTGTCTTTTATTTCTTGCTCCTCAACCAGATCTTGATCCATGGATGGAAAAAAGCAAAGCCCACCCATCCATTCCCAGAGTCACCCTGTCCTTTTCTGTAGTAGCCTTTGGTCTATAACATTGACTTAGAGACACTTGCCTGAGGGAACTGACTGGATTTCAGAGAAAGAAAGCACACAAAGATAAGACAGTAACCAGGGAGAGACAAAAGTATACAGAGAGACACTCAGAGATTCAATAGAGAGACCAGGATGCAGCAGCAGAAAGAAAATCCCAGACTTAGAATTTACACAGTTCAAGATAAAGAGAGAAAAAATTCTGGACAAGAATAATAATCTTGAAGTTTCTTTTCCGTTTTAATGTTTTATGATAGAGATAATGGCAGAGGAAGAGGAGGACTTGGGCAAGAGGATAAGGAGATACGGGCAGGTCCTGTGGCGCTGTGGGTTAATGTGCTAGACTGCAAAGTCAGTTTGAACTGCAAGGTTGGTGGTTCAAGCTCACCAGTCACTCCTTGGAAACCTTCTAGAGGGTCGCTATGGGTCGGAACCGACTCAACAGCATTTAACAACAACAACAAAGGAGCTCTGGTAGCGTAGTGGTTACGAATCGGGCTGCAAACCTCAAGGTCAGCAGTTTGAAACTAGCAGCTGTTCCGCGGGAGAAAGATGAGGCTTTCTGCTCCCATAAAGATTTACAGCCTCGGAAATCCTGTACCGGGTCGCTATGAGTCGGAACTGACTCCACAGCACATAACAACAACAACCAAGGTGAAGAGGTGGTGGTTGTGAAGTGCCTTTGAGTTGGTCCCGATTCATAGTGACCCTGTATAGGGTTTCCAAGGAGCGGCTGGTGAGTTTGAACTGCCCACCTTGTAGTACCAACAGACCTTGTGGTTGAGTGCTTATCCTCCAGTGCCACATCAGGACTCCTTCACTTTCACACTAGTCCTACTCTTACCTCTCATCCACAAAGCTGTTTCCATATTCACTTTCAGCTCCTACCTAAACCTGTCTCCCCACCCCGCATGCACCCTTCCTGAAAATCTGTGAACTACAACCTCAGACATGAAGTATCCTCACTGCTCCAGTCTTTGCTCAGTTCCCTCCCTTCTGATCTCCTAAAGCCTGTCAGATAGATCCTTAATCACTAGACAAAGTGTTGTTTTATACAGTCGGCCCTCAGCTCTTATGAACACAAATTGGCTCCCCAAGAGAAGTGCGCACTATCTTATAGATCCCAGGATTCCTTGTAATGCCCAACCCAGCCCAAGGCTGTGTATAGAGTAAGTGCTCAATGAATTCCTGTGGACCGAACACTCTTCCCCCAAACACTGGGAACCCACCCTCAGGTGAAGTCCATTCATTCCAGGAAATAACTTCTGTGCTCTGGCCATCTCCTGGGCTCCAGCGCCCCCTGCCTGCAAAGAGGGGAACTGCCTTCAGGACAAAGTTCGCGGCCCAGTCCCGGAAAGGCAGGCAATGGCCCTCCCATCTCACAAAAGGCACCCGGCACCATTCAAGGTTCTGATGAGGTCAGTGGGCACTGCCAGTAAAGTCTGTTGTGTTTTCAGATGTGGGAACAAGCCTAGGGCCCCACCCTGTCCCGCCCTCCCTTTGAGCGCTCAGAGCTTTTCATCAAGTTCCAAGCTCTGGTTATCCTGGGCAGGCCCATGGCTGGGGGCCGGGCTGCCACCCTGCTTCCCGCTCAGGTAACTCTGGATGGCCGAGGCGCAGTCCAGCCGCTCCATGGCAGTCATGAGGTAGTGCAGCTCCTGTAGACTGCCATTCTGCTCCTGAAACAGCTCCAGGATGGCAGCAGCAGGGCTGCGCTGGCAGGATAGGAACCTAGAGGAAGCGGGGAGGAGAGCGGTGAGAGGAAGAGCCTCTCCCTCCTCGGGGCTCTGCTTTGTGTCCTGTCCTGGAGACCCTCTCACACTCAGCTCATTCCCAGATCCACCCCTGCCTGAGTTCTTGCCCCTTCCAGCACTTGCTTTCTTCCAGGGAGCTCAAGTGGCCGAAGGGTCCAGGACTTTCAAAGGGGAGCTAGTTGGAAGAGTTCAAGAACTAACTCCAAGTCCTTTTTATGTCTGTGTCTTACACTGGGGTTTAGTTGAGAGATTTCTAAGGTCATTTCTAGCTCCTCTTGTTCTGTAATTGTTCTTTGTCTACCTGCCCCACCCCAAACACATCCTTCTCCCCACCACCCTAGTTAGGCTCCTTCCTAACTAGCTTCCTTCTCTCTCTCTCCCAGGCCAGGGCATCCTGCCTACTTCTGAGGAGATAACTGTTCTAAATCATGGCTTTCTTTTGTCTTGATGCCTTCCTGGAATCTCTCCTGTTCTCTGTGGGCTGGAAAGCCCACTGGATCATCCTGAACCTTTCCCACCCCTGCATACACCACAACCACAACCACCTTTGCTGCTGGTCTAACCCATCCCCCACCACCTTGTCTCTGAAGCCCTTTCTAACTCCCACCCCTAGTATCGTTTGGACTTTAGGTCATAAGCTGAATTCTTCACAATTCTTTAACAGTCTTTCTTTCTCAACTATTTTCAGTGTCTCTGTTTCCAACTTGTTGTGCACTACTGGATACATGCAATAATCTGCAGGGAATGGTTGTCTTTGGTTTTTTAACCTCTCTGAACCCCTGACTGAAGGAACCCAGGTGGTGGCTGTGCCTAACATGGTTTCCCCAACAAAGCCATTGTTGATGTTAAGTGCTGCTCGACTCATAGCCACCTTGTATAGGGTTTCCAAAGCTATAAATCTCTGCTAGAGAAGAAAGCCCCACCTTTCCCCTACTCTGACCTTGTGGTTCACAGTCTAGTGCTTATCCTTCAGAGCCACCACACTCTTCCAGGATGGTAGGTGCTTGCTGAATGGATGACTTTCAATTCTGCCCTGTCTTGAGGGTCCAGTTCTAATGCCATCTCCTGAATGAAATCTTCCCTGACCATTTCATTTATACTCTGGACCCCAGGGCTTAGCTCAACATTGTCTTATGTCCCTTGAAAGAGAGTGTAGCTGCATTACTCCCATTATTGCTAATATTTATTGAATTAGCAGTCACTGGGTTTCACATTAGCAACCCTCAGGGCACAGCACAGCAAGCACTCAATGACTTAATGATTAATGGCTTCATTTTTAAATACTTATTGAGCACCTACTATGTGCCAGGCATTACTATAGACACTAAGGATACTGTGATAAATAGAAATGTCGTTATTGTTGCTAAGTGCCATCAAGTCCGTTCCGACTCATAGCGACCCCATATAGGGTTTCCAAGGAGTGACTGGTGGGTGTGAACCTCCAATCTATGGTTTAGCAGTTCAGCGCTGATCCTCCAGGCTGACTATAGAGCCTAAGGATACTGGGATCAATAGAAATAGCTGCTCTTTCATTGATCGTGGAGTGAGAAGTAGCCATTCTCTGCCCTTGACATCATTCCCTTGCCTCTGGTCCAATCCCTAGGATATTCTGAAGAGCCCCATCCTCAGCCCAATCTGCCCTCCTTTCCCATCCGCATGCCTCTTCTTACCGGATTTTCATACCACAGAGCCCCAGGTGGGAAGCCAGCCGGCGCCAGTCATTGCCTGTGATGCTGTTTGGTTCCAACAACATCTGCAGCTGCTCAAAGAGCTCTGGGGGCAACCTGGGGCAGAGGGGAGGATCAAAGAGATCCAGTCTGATTCTCCACCCACCACCCTGGGGAAGAAATCCCAGACAGCCCTGAGGGGCAATCCCCATCACACCCACCTCACCTATTGCACGGAGGTGGCTGGGAGACTGGAGGGGCTGCTGCCCACGATTCTTCCTCTGATGCCTGGAACCGGACAATTTCCATGTACTTGGTCTCCAAGCCCTGAGCCAACAGAGGGGGCAGGCAACACACTTTGAGATCATGAGACACCCCCTGAGCAAGAAGCTGAGGACCTCTCTCCATTCTTCACATCTCTCCTTTAGCCTGACCCCACCCAGAACCCTTTACCCTCTGCTTCCCTGATCCAGAACCCCACCATCAGCCTTAAATGTACCAACTATGCCGTTTGGGAACTGGAACATGAAAAACAAACAGATTACATCTTAAGACACCAGGAGAAGTCCTGGGTGGGGTCATGGGAGGCCATCAAATAATAGACCCTGAATTCTGGCACCTGAGCCCCTTGCCCCTACTCTTCCTTTCCCAGATTGCTGCACCACCACCACCACCCCCACCACCACCACCCCCGTGATACCATCAGGGATATCCACCCACCCTCCATGACCCTGGCTACTCAGGTTCTTCAAGACTCTCAACTCAGATTTCCTTACTGCTCCTCTTGGCTGTGGGCTGGTACGCTGAACTCCCATCCCACCTACTCAAGACACTTTTCTTGGTCACTAACCACATAGAAGTTACACATTACCTCTCAGGTATAGACAATCAGCTTATAAAAGAGCCAAATCTTGACGTTCCAGCTCCCCTGAGTTGGGAGAGGGGGTTAATCTAGAGCTTGGTTCTTATACCGCCTGCTTTATCCATTGGTAGTCAAGAGTCAGGGATGAAGGGTAACTTGGGAGGCCTCCTGGCCTCAGTCCCCTAAGGGCTGGTATGACTGTCCTGTGAAAAATGTTCTCTTCCCATCTTTGCTGCTTGATTAAACAATCAAAACCATACTTTCTGGACACCAGTCCCCTCACCCTCTTGGCCCAGGACACCCTTCTTCTGCCCACCAGGCCTACTCACATCCTGGAAGGTGTGCATAGTGACAATGATTTCATTGGTTAGTGCTGAGCAGTCCTCACTCTCACTGGCTACAAAGAGAAGGTGAGAATGAAGTCGGTGAGAGAGAAGAAAGGGCCCAGGGTGAGAAGGAGGAGAGGTTAAAGAGGCTGTGTGGTAAGCTGTGGGCTGGAGCAGGACTGTGTGGCTTCTCACTTGCAAGAGAAGGAGCTGCTGAGCTTCAGGGTTACTGGGAGGTGGGGAGAGGAGGGAAATGGGCCAAAAGTGGGTGTGGGACTCCTACACTACCTTTCTTCCGGAAGCAGAAGGAACGGAAGGGACACTTTCCATGCCAGATGTGGAGATGGGGAACTAGCTGGCAACTGCTGTCATCCACATTCTCCCAACCTGGGGAGGGGGCGGGGGTAGGAGAGCTTCAGAGAGCAGGACCTTCCACAAATACTGACAAATGACCTACTCTGTGGGAGGCAGTGTGCAGGGTAGGGTGCAAGAGGGGTGAGGAGGGAGCAGAGGGGAGAGGGTTCTCCAGAGCCCTCAGGGGACCCTATTTGTGGTCTACCTTCTACCACCAACATACACCTTCACTTCCCCATGTACATGGGCCCTGACCCATCCATACAAACTCCCCTGGGTCCTCATGCCCATAAGCAATGCCAGTAGCCCAACCCATAAAGTGAAGGAGAGAAGACTGTAAGTACCTGTTCCCAACACCAGCCCCATCCTGGTGGGAAAAGAAAGGCTTCTCCCTCCCTGTGAAGGATAACAGCTGTTTCCTGCCTCCCACTGGGCATCCCCTGCCCTTCCATAGGTGGGCAATGGCCAAGAAAGTAGTCTAAGACAGAGGACTCCCAGAAGCTGCTCCCTGCCCAGGAGGCTGGGTTTGAAACGTGATGTTCCCAGATTTCTACCTCGCTAGCCAGGGGGGCTCCCTCTGACCTTGTCCCCGCCATGGCCCACCGCCCTCACCCTCAGAGATGTACTTGAGCTTCAGGCACTGGTCCCCGCGAGCTCCCGTGAAGTCAAAGAGCTGGCAGGGCCCACGCAGGCGTCCACCGTGGGGCTGCTCGTTGGTTATGGCCCACTGCAGGGCACAGGGCGTATTGTTGAGGAAGTAGACGCGCAGCTGCAGGTGGGACTGTCCTGGTGCCAGGGGTGAGCAGAACACTGCCAGCTGCAGCCACTTGCGAGCCTCCCGCCCCGCAGGCACCTCCAGAACGCAGGTGTAGAGGCTGTGGACGGTAGAGGTGGCAAGTAGAGCTGGGGACGCTGAGGACCCCTGTACACTTACAACACAACTCCTCCCTGCCAGGGGCCTCGGGGGCACCTCCAAGAAGGTGAGTAGAACAGCCCAGGAGGGATGGAGAGATGGAGAGAGAAGATGGAGGCCAAGAGTCTCCACCATTGAGTGAGGAGAGAAGTCATCCATTGAGTACTCTGGGTCAGGGGAGATGGGCCCAGAGCCTCCAGGCTTCACACTACATTACACACACATATTACACACACATACACACACGGCCCTGCTCTTGTCAGGGGAGGGCAAGAAGACTGGGAGACAGTGGATATAATATCCTAGAAAGACAAAGAGATGAAGGACAGACATCAGACAGAATATAGTCTTAGAGAACTGGAGGGGACAAACTGAAGGGAAGTCTAGCGTAGAGACAGACAATTTTAGAGGGAAGGAACATGGGGCTCCCTGTGGACAGAGAGATGAGGAGGAGAAACAGTTGTGACATGCACAGTATGGATGAGGGGGAGGGCTGGGATGAGACAGTTGGACAGAGGGACAGGAGAGGGACACTCAGGACAAAGGATCAGCAAGCCTTCTCAGGCACATAAAGGAGAGCTTCCACAGTGTGAGATGAGGTTGAAACAGAGAAAAAGAACAGAACAGACCATTCCAGAAGGCCGGAGGCAGGGAAACAGGTCATGAATAGGTGCCTACCTGAAGTGGGAGAGGTGAAGGCGACACTCATCCCTGGAAGTGTAGGCCCCCGACCGCCCTAGGGGCTTCCAGGCCTTGGCATCGAGCAGGGTTGTGTTGCTGCTGTAGGTACGAGCCTGGCTGGGCTGCTGGGCACAGTGCTTGAATGTGAGGGTGCAGGGCTTCAGGAAGGAGGCCCCATGGGGGCCACATGCCACCACAGGGCTCACCAGTGCCTGGGCCCGGGACAGTGAGGGAGCATCCGACAGGTCCCACACCAGGACCAGAGACACCCGTTCCTGGCGGCCTATAGTCACAGCACCTGGCAAGAGGGAGAGCCGAAAAGGGCCTGGCAAAGAACTCCGCTCCCTGCAGAAGGATGCAGGGTGGGAGGGAAAGTGTGCAAGAGCACAAGAGAGGGTGCCCAGCAAGGGCCACGAGGAGACCATATGGAGCAGGAGCAAGATGAGTGTGAGCTGACTTACAGCGTCATCCTGAGCAAGTCCTTGCCTCCCCCCAGGGCTGTCTCTAGCCCATACAGTGCCTTGTAAACCTTCTAATAATGCTAATAGAGGAATTTAGTAAAGGTGCAGAGTACAAAGTCCACAAGCAAAAATCAACTGAGTTTCTATGCACTACCAATGAGAAATCTGAAATGGAAATTAGGGAAACAATTCCATTTACAATAGCATCTAATTGGATAAAATACCTAGGAATAAATTTTATGTGAATTTGCAAAAGGCATTCTTCCAAACAGTTCACTTCACTGACTGACAATTGTCATACTAATTCTATTAGAACTAGGTTATTTACTTCCATCTGCCAGAAAACTGCCACAAAAGATGTGCCCGATGTCCCTCTTTGGAGTCAATAGAATTATAACTTTATTGGAGACAGTCAAGTAATAATAAAAAATAAAATTTCAAAATTATGAAGATGTCTCTGAATGGTACTTCCTTAAATGTGCTGCCTTTGAGAATAGAGGGGACCCAAGAAACAGGCTGAGTGCGCTTACCTGGGGGGATGAGCAGGGAAATGCCTGTATCTTGTAGCATCAGGCAGCCTCCGCGGTGGTCCACCTCTCGAACTGAAAATACCAATAGCTTGTTCATCAGCTGACGGATGACTGTCTGGCCTTGGGTGGGTGTGTTGAGTTCCTGGTAGAAGGCAGCCATCTCTGACAGTGTAACTGGCAGGGACTGGCTAGGAATCTCAGTTTCAGGTAGGGGAGTGGGCTGGGGCACTGGGTCTTCTTCGCCATCTGGCTTCCGGCAGGTTTGTAGCAGCCAGTGAGGACAGTGCCATCGAAGGCACTGCACCAGGAGGAGGACACTTGCAACTGGAACACCCACCAGCAGTAGGAACTGCAAGGGTTGGAAGGAATTCTCTTGGGGGCACATCCACCTGGTCACTTGATGCCACCAGCTCTGCACCTCTGTTGTGTCAGCCAAGACCAGGAGCCTGCAGGATCACTAGCCATGGGAGAGATGCAAATCAAAACAACAATGAGATCTCTTCTCAGCTTAGTATTAATAGCAAAAACACACACACAAAAACAGAAGACAAAAAATCCTGGAGAGGGTGTGGAGAGCCTGAGACCCTTCCACAGTGCTGGTGGGACTGTAGAACAGTGCAGCCACTGTGGAAAACGGTATGGTACTTTCTCAGAAGGTTGGAAATAGAAATACTGTATGACAAATATCACAGCCTTCAGTATGGGTTGCAACTCAATGTAAAGAAAACAAAAATCCTCAGCACTAGACCAATAAATAACAGCAAGAAAAATGGAGAAAAGATTGAAGTTATCAATGACTTCATTTTGCTCAGATCAACCATCAACGCTCATGGAAGCAGCAGTCAGTAAATCAAACAACGTATTGCATTAGGCAAATCTGCAGCACAAGATATCTTTAACGTGTTCAAGAGCAACGATGTCAGTTTGAGGACCTAGGTGCCTCTGACCCAAGCTATGGTATTTTTAATAACCTCATATGCATGTGAAAGTTGGGTAATGAATAAAGAAGACCGCAGAAGGATTGATGTATTTGAGTTATGGTGTTGGATGGGGAATATTAAAAGTACCATGGACTGCCAAAAAAAACAAACAAATTTGTGTTGGAAGAAGTACAGCCAGAATGCTCCTTAGGAGCCAGGATAACTAGATATCTTCTCTCATACTCCAGATCTATTATCAGGAGGGACCAATCCCTGGAGAAGGACGTCATGCTTGGTAAAGTGGAAGGTCAGCGAAAAAGAGCAAGACCCCCCCAATGAGATGGAGTGGCACAGTGGCAACAGAAATGGGCTCACGTGTAACAACAATTATGAGGTTGGCACAGGATTGGGCAGTATTTCGTTTTGTTGTGCACACAGTCACTACGAGCTGGTACCAACTCGACGACACCTAACAAAAACAAAAACAAACACAAAAAAAGACCCAGCAATCTCTCTACTTGGTATTTACCCTCAAGAAATAAGAGTCATGACATGAATAGATATTTGCAGCACTATTCACACTAGGAAAAAGATGGAGACAGTTTAAATGCCCATAAGAGAGGAATGATAGAACAACTTTGGTACATACGCATAATGGAATACTACACAACATTGAAGGAAAATGATGAATCTGAAAACAGCACATAACATGGAGGAACCTAGGAGATATTATGTTGAATGAAATTAGTTGGTTGCAAAGGGACAGATATTGTATGAGACCACTGTAAAAAGTCAAGAAACGGTTTTCATTCTATAAAATGAAAGGAGAATTACTCACTGGAGAGAGTGCAGACCTTCGCTAACTTGGGTGAAAGGGAAAGCAGTTAAAGAGAAAAGAAGGGATGAAAAAAGGGGGACAGAATTTACTTTCTTTTGAGGTAGGGACTGGGTTTTGTTTTGTTTTTTGTCCCATGTATTGGAAGGGAAACAATGTATATTTATTTTCTCATTAGGATAAACCATTGGTAACGTTTCCAAAAATGAAAAACAAGGAAAGAAGGGGAAAAGAGAGAGAGAGAGAGAAGATTTGGAAATGGGTCATAATGGTAGTTGTGTAGCATGGTGAATGTAGTTGGTATGGCTGGATTGCACATGTAAAAATGGTTGAAATGGCCAGTGTTTTGTTGTACATAAATATTGCTGCAATAAATTTAAAAGGAATAAATAAAATAAAGAGGAGCCTGGGGAAGGAAGAAGGAATCAAAGCCAAGCTAAAGCATTTTGTTATTGTGAGGGTTAAGACTTGGCATCCACTGAGCTGCAACAAGGAAGCAAGTTGTTTTCATTCCATGCAATGCACACTCAGATCAAGTTCCCTTATCTTAACTTCACCTGTTTCTCCCTTTCTGCTCGAGAAACTGCTACAGAACCCCAAAGAGTCTACACACAAAAATCTTCTAAAGCTACTAAAGGAATTTAGCAAAGGTGCAGGTTACAAAGTCAACAAACAAAAAAATCAGTTGAGTTTCTATGCACCACGGATGAGAAACCTGAAAAGGAAATTAGAGAAACAATTCCATTTACAATAGCATCTAATTGAATAAAATACCTATGAATAAATCTAACCATGCAATTAAAACTATAAAATACTGCTGAAAGAGATTAAAAAAGACTTAAGTAAATGGAGAGATGTTCTACGTTAGTAGATTGGAAGGCTTAATATTGTTAAGATGTCAATACTACCCAAAGTGATCGAAAGTTTCAACACAATCCCTATCAAATTCCAACAGCCTGCTTTACAGAAATAGAAAATCCCATTCTCAACTTGATATGAAACGGCAAGAGGGTCTGAATAGCTAAAACAATGCTAAAGGAGAACAGCAAAGTGGAACTCACACTTCCTGATTTTAACATACTATGTTGTTGTTGTTGTTAATTGCCATTAAGTTGATTCTGGCTCATTGTGACCCTGGATAGGGCTTCCAAGAAGTGGCTGGTGGGTTTGAACTACTGGTCCTGTGGTTAGCAGTCCAGTGCTTATCCTACAGCACTATACCAGGATATTATACATCTACAGTAATCATAACAGCCTAGTACTAGTATAACAATAGACACAAAGACCAATGGAAAAGAACTGAGAGTTCAGAAAGAATCCCACACATCTGTGGTCAACCGATCTTTGACAAGGGTGCTAAGTCCATTAGAGGGGAGAAGGGGCTCTTCAATAAATTCTTATTGTTGTTGTTACGTCCCGTTGAGTCAATTCCGACTCATAGTTACTCTGTATAAGGTTTCTGAGAAGCAGCTGGTGGGTTTGAACTGTCGGCCTTGTGGTTCAAACCGACCTTGAGATTCAGTGCCACACTGGGACTCCCTTTAATAAGGTGCCTAGAAAATTGGATTTTCACATGCAGAAAATGAAACAGGATCCATGCCTCACATCATACACAAAACACATTGAAAATGGGTTAAAGACATAAAAGTGCAAACTAAAACCAGAAAATTCTTAGACTAATAAGCAGGCCTGGCTTTCAACAATGGATTGTCTTATATCATAGCAAACGTGCAAATAGCAAAAGATAAAATAAATAAATAGGTCATCATAAAAATTTTAAACTTTTGTTCATCAAATGACTTTACCAAAAACAAAGTGAGAAGACAAGCTTCTTCAGAAACCATGTATTCAACAAAGATCTAATAACCAAAAAATATATAAGACATGGACAACTTAGCAACAAAACAACAAAGAATCCAATCATAAATTGGGCAAGGGACTTGGATATGCATTGCACCATAAAGGACATCCAAATGGTCACCAAACATATAAAATAATTCTCAGTATCACTAGCCATCAGAGAACTGAAAATCAAAATCTCAATGAGATACCCCAGGTGTGGCGTTGTAATAAAAGCATTGGACTACGAACCACATGTCAGCAGTTCAAACCCACTAGCCACTCTCAGAAACCCTGTACAGGGTCACTATGAATCGAAACTGATTCAACGGCGTACAACAACAAGATAGCTAAGATAAAAGTCATAAAGAGAAAACAACAAATGTTGCAAGGATGTAGGGAAACTGGAATTCTTATCCATTGCTGGTGAGAATGCAACATGGTACAGTCCTGGTGTGGTGCTTGCAGGTTAATGCGCTGGACTGCAAAGTCAGTTAGAATGCAAGGTCAGCAGTTCAAGCTCACCAGCCGCTCCTTGGAAACACTATACAGGGTCACTATGAATCAGAACGGACTCCACAGCACTTAACAACAGCAACAATAGCACAATCATTGTGGAAAAGAGTGTGATGAGTACTCACAAAACTAAAAATAGGATTGCCATGTAATTTAGCAAGTCCACTCCTACATATAATCCAAAAGACTTAAAAGCAAAAATGTGCACACCAATGTCTTTTGTAGCATTGCTCACAATAGTGAAAAGGTGGGAATGCCCATCAACAGATAGATGGCTAAACAAAATGTGATACATACATACAGTGGCTACTACTCAGCCGTAGGAATAATGAAGTCTCAATTTATGCTACAATGCAGATGGAACTTGAAGATATTATGCTGAGCAGAAAAAGCCAATCAAAATAAAAGATGAAGAAAGGGAAATGTATAGAGACCAAAGTTTACTAGCAGTTACCAGGAGAGGGAGGGAGGGAGAAGAGGGTTAATGGTGATATTGTTGTTGTTGTTAAGTGCCGAGTCGGTTCTGACCCATAGCGACCCTATATAGGGTTTCCGAGGAGCGACTGGTGAGCTTGAACCACCGACCTTGCAGTTCAAATGGCTTTTGCAGTCTGGCGCATTAACCTACAGTGCCACACCAGGACATACTGATGATGGACAGACTGAATTTGATTAAGGGTGGGGTTGTGCAGCCAATTAGAGTAATCACTGCCAATAAATTGTAGACCTGCAAAAAGTTGAATTGGCAAAAGTTGTGTGATAGGTGTATTTACAACAATAATAAAACCAGCAACAGCAATGAAAGACTGTAGTTGTTGAAGCTGCTTATGTATTTCTAAACACCGCATGGGTTTTGGCTCCGGGATTTAGAGGTTTAGGGTTTCATGGGACATTCCAATCAATTAGCCTAATTGTGAGTTTAGTGCTTCTGTTCTACCTCCTAGTTCACTGTGTAGTGAGTGCCTAGGGTCTTAAGAGCATGCAGGAAGCCATCCAAGGCACAATTGGTCCTGGAGCAATAGAGAAAGAAGAAGGATCAGGAATAAGAAGAGGATATGGAATGTGTAGCTAATTTTCTCTATAAACAACTATCTGGTTTGCCGTGACACCAGAAGAACTGGGTGGTGCCCAACTACCATTATTGAACATTTTGATCAAAGATTCCATAGAGAAATATTGATCAAATGGGAGGAAATGCAAAACAGAATTTCATAGTCTCATGGACTGCAGACTTTCTGGAGCCATGGGGGGTGGAAAAATAACCCCCTGAAACTA